TCGTATATGCTCACTGCTGACAGTCGACCCTTGAAGCCGTGCTCAAGGTGAAAAGGTATAAGAAGATCGTAGAAAGAGGATAATGAAGACACCGAACCAGCTCCTCCCCTCATCTCCTCTTCTACACAGGTTCCTCGTCAACATGTTTACGTATCAGAATCCTCTCACCCTTGCGGCAGTACTTCTGGCACAGACGGTGTTGGGTTACCCCCAGGGCGCGGTCCTCAATCCCACATTGATCACCAGAGACAATGAGTTCATCTTTTCCGCCATCGGGGATTCCTGGGGAGTACGTAAACTCACTCAATCGCTACACATTGACTAAGACACAACAGAGCGGAGTTCAATGGAACAACGACACCGCATACGACGGAAACGAAGACGGATGCATGCGCTTCAAGTACGCCTGGTCAACCATAGTCAACGACAGATACCAGGACTGGACACCAACCCCCGATCAAGATCCCCAATTCGAGTTCAGAGCCTGTTCCGGCGCCCATTTGGGAAAGAACATCAACGACCAGATGGACAAGTTGACACGACCGAAGATGACCATGCTCGAAGCCGGCGGGAATAATGCCGATTTCTACCCCATGGCCGACAGCTGCCTCTTCCATACCGACCCGAGAGTAGACTATGGGACTCATTACGAAGACGACGATGCTGACGACCCGACGGGATTGTGCAGGAAGGAGATCAAGCTAGTACGAGGAAGAGTCGGAGAGAAACTTCAGCAGGCCGCTATAGATACTATAGATATCTGGAGGGCCCACCCTGCTGTCAGCGGCAACGACGCAACACTCTTCATGCTAGGATATGCGCGCTTCTTCGCCCTTGACGACGCATGCAACGACTGGGATTTTGGCAGACAGTTCCAATTGCCAAAGAATGCACAGAAGCTCGTAAAAGAAATGCGACAGGAGTTTAATGATCTGGTAAATTCTACTCTCATGGTACTCTCATCTTACACACTGACACCCCTTACCCGCTTAGGTTGACGCCGTGAACCTCGCGATCCGCTCCGCCGTCGAACACTACAACGACCCGAAAATTCGATACATCGACATCAACCCCGCCCTGGAAGGCCATCGCTTCTGCGAAAAAGGCCACAGCTTCAGGTCGCAGATCAATCCTAACAGCTCCGAGGTGCACATCTTTAACAACCCCATCCGGTTTTGGCTTACCATCCACGACGGCGACAGCGTTACCACATACGAGCCCAGCGACGACTTAGATGCCCCCGGCCCACCCGAGGATATCATTGAGAAGCTACGCGGATACCCCGAGGGCGAATCCGTACAACAAGACCAATACACGATAACCACCTTCCGCAACCCCGAGGAACCAAACCTGAGCATGGAGGTGAAAATTGAGCCGCAGCCCCTAAACGGTGGGAGTGGGAGCGGGAATTTCAATGGGTATATAGCGCGGACGTTGCATCCGAAACAGGATGGACACAAGGAGATTGGCGATGTGATTGTCGGGGCGCTCAAGAAAAATTATAGACCTGATGAGTCGGCTCCTGAGCCGCCAACGAACCCGCCGAAGCCGACACAGCCGCCGCAGCCGGAAACTACGGTGCCTGGGTTTAACTGTCCGACCGGGTGTACTTGTAATTCTGGGGTTCCGCTTTGTTTCTAGGGTGCTGATTCGAGGGGGGTAGGCGTGGTGGTTGAGCAGTCGCAGGCTGATTAGCTTTCGGCGTTGAGATGTGAGGGCGTTTCTTTCGGGATGGTTTCGAGGAACAAGACTGGATCATCGGACGTAGCGTGTCTACATCGCCTTGATAGTGCTACTGTCAGCTTCTTGGCCTGATGGACTACTGAAGATGGGCTAGTGTTCGGAATCTCGACCTTCCCTGGAGTTTGGAGTCATAGTTGCCTTGGTATTGGTAATGTTATCGCATACTGTTGCGTGTGCTCGCCCGGAAGTTTTTCTACTCCCGCCATACTTACATATTGCGCTCAAGCTGTCAGAGCTGATATATAAGCGCGAAGGGCGTGACGCTCCCGTGACAGCAAATGCATGCGCGGTAGAAACGGTGTGCTAATCTGTTGACCGGTCGGAGCAGGGATCGATCGGCCCTCATGTCAATGGTCTGGAATCTTTGGGAATAATTTATCTGCTGGGTTCCTAACCAGTCAAGACGTCACAGTCGGTTCGCCGTGCATTATATAAGCAGTAACACAGACGAGGCTGCTCGAGGCTTGGTGGTGGTCCTGGAACTCGGCTCCGCGTGCACTGCCATTGGCCCCCAACGACCGTTCACCTTAGGGCGAGGCAGACATGATTGTGATACGAGTCACAAGTCTGGTCCTGAGACCAATCCTAGAGTGTCGCGAAGCTCTCTATTTATGGCTGAGATAAGCCCATGATCCCTGGCATTGTGGTCGATCTGGGCGTTGGTGTTCCCAGAGAGATGGATGTCGGAACCCGCCGTGGCAGAGACGTGTGAGCAATAGGAAGGGCGCGGCAGTGAACGTCGCGGCACAAAGGCGATTAGTCAAGAGGGATGATGAGAGAGCTAGAGTCACGAGTGTGCTGAGAATGAGGATGATGATGGAGCTGTTGGTGGGTTTGCAGAGTAGCGGCGGGAATTGGGTGGGCGGCCGTGGCGGCCACGGCCAGGAACCAGCCCGGTGTTGTGGACCTCCAGGGCTGAAGCGGGGCACCATGCGCCATGCGCGAACGGCCAAACATCTCCACGTCCCCAATCCCGTCACTAATGTCGCAATTTCCTCTTTCTCTCTCCCTCGATATCACAGATGATTGAGGGCCTTATCATGCACAACACCGCCATGGTGGCGATCCAGAGTAAGCCTCCTGCTCGGCCTACCAGGCCTCCCACGAACGGAAGTTCTAACCGCCCTAGCTAAATTACACGATGCCCATATCCCACGCACAGCCACATCACTACAGCATCGCCCGCGACGCGATCCGCTTGGTTGAAGGTGAAGAATGCATCTATACCCGACTAAAGGCAATGGCTCGCCTGATGCACCTATTCCAGTCTTCCGAGTCGCCGACTCGGTTGACCGAACTGCCTCGCACTTAGACACCGAAACGGGTCACCTCTGAGACACATGCCAGAAAGCTTAACTTGAGCCTCCTCTCAGGCTTCCCTCTGACTAAAACCGGGTCGATCCAATGATTCTTCCTATACAGGCTGTCAAGCGGGTCACGGCTACCAAACTTAGCCCTATATCCGACCCTACACGTTCTGGCCGAGCTTTCAACGTTGCTCTAGCGCGTTCTTCAACGTGGAAACGACCATTCCTACTCGTTAGATGAGCACTAGATGGGTGATGGGGCGAGATCGAAAGAGTAGAGTGCTGCGACAGCCATGACTCCGGCTGTGAGTCGGAGGGAGATCGTTGGAAATGCGCTCATGCTCGTGCTGAGATGAGAGGCCTCATATCATATATAAGAGTCGGGATGGGGCACGGTTAGGGCCATCAACTCAATTAACATGATGGATATCTCCTTCTCGCCGGCTCTTGCTATGACTTCCCTTCAAGCCCAATTTCGTACTGTCAACAACATCGAGCAGTCTTCCATCGCCGTTATACACACAGTCTCTGTCATAGAGGCACACAAGTTTCTACTCGAAGTATACAGAGTTGTCTGGCACTTCATTCAGCAGTCTCAATACTCAAGTCAAATGTCACACCGAGAACCATACTCAACTTCTGGAGAGATGAAGGATGGTGGAAACGACCCAGAACCGCCAGCTGCACCACCGTAAGTTCTCACCCCTTTCATCTCAAACTCTACCATCTCCAGACGACTACCACCAAACCAAAATCACTCCCATTAACCACATCCAACCCAGAATCATCATCCTCGCCCAATCCGGTAAAGCACCTGCGCCCCACTTCCAGGTACCAGACCCTGCCGATCCGCCATTCCAGCCGCACCCACCTACGTCATCCCTGTCGTACGTATGCCCAATCTTACCTAGGTAGTTTGTGCAACCATCTCGTATCTTTTGTCGGTCCAATTCCTAACTCTCTCTCCTTATTTCTAGACCTGAACATTCACGACAAGAATCTCAACTCACCGACGCGACATCGAGACCACCAAGTAAACCGGAACCGGAACCTCATCCTGCGCCACCGTAAGTGGATTGAGAAGACAGCCTTGCGCGAATGCGCACACGCGACTTGTTGCTGGACTTGAGCTGACGAGACAGCAGTGTAATCATCCTATCCGACCAAAGCCACTATTCTTCCTCTACCACCTCACGACCACACGCGCAAACCACATCCACCACCACCTCAACACCCACACCAACCCACCCCTTCCTCCCCCACCTACCCGTCCCTCCACCCCAACCCTTCACCAACCCCAACGCTCCCAACACAACCTCTACAATGGGCTCCAAAGTCAGCAAAGTCAAAGAACGCGCCACAGACGGCAAACTGCAACCCAGCCAAGAGCGCCTCGACAAGGAGCAGATGAAGGAACCGAGCAATTACTATTCACACCGTAGCAAGAGCATGCGGAGGAAAGCGGGGAAAGGGGGCGCTACAAGTGATGTGGGAGGGAGTGCTGGGGGTGCGGGGGGAGGGGCTGGGGGCGTTGCTTAGGGAAGGGGGAAGAACATGCATGGGAGACTTGGAGGGTGTAGAGGGCAGATTGAGAATTTGGATACAAGACAGGTGGTGGCATATTGTGTTGGCGTTCAGGATTGTCTTTCTTCGGGGTGTAGCATAGCGATGCATGGGCATGAGGATATTCACTTCTCCATCAATAGATCAGGTATACTGTGTCTTCTTCGAGCAGCTTTTCCCATTCGCACAAGAATCGGTCCGCCATGCCATGGCGACAAGTCAGCTAATCTTATCGCATCGGTCCGTTGTCATCGTATTTCGTACAGTCTCACATACGTACAAGCACACACACACACACGTTTCGACAACTCATTGCGAATGAACACATTACATTACTGAATTCATCTCTCCATACTATCCTTTCCATCCCCTCTAGCACCAATCCATCTAGTGCATAGTCGCATTCCCGCCAACGCGATAACTCTCCGGCGGCCCATTATGACTGTAAACAACACCACCCAAATCCAGGACAACCTTCTGCAGAATAACATTCGCCTCTACAAGCCACAGCTTGAGCGTGTGCTTACCAGGTGCAAGTTCACCGTGGTTAGTCGTGTTCTTCCACGCGCTATCCGCAACCGCAACACCCCAGCCAACGGGGAAGTTGGGCTGCGGCTGGTCGATGACGAACTGGCGGCGGGCTTCGGTCTTGTTGTCGATCTGGGCGATGTACGCGAGGGGAACCTTTGGGTTGATGTTGTGGGTGGGTGTGAGGATGAGGGTGACGTTGAGGCCCTTGGCCTTGGTGGTGGGTGTGAAGGTGACGAAGTCGTATTCCAGACTTGGTGCGCTGGAGGAATCAAGGCCCTCGGCTAGGTTGTTCGCGAGCTTGACGCCAGACATGGTACGGCCGTATTTGGGGAGGACCATGTATTCGTTGTCGGAGGAACCAGGCGTGGAGCGCGTGTAGTGCTCTGCTTCGAAAGCGAGTTGGCCCGCGGATTCGACGAAGCCGGCGTTGAAGTCGGAGGGGATGGACGTCTTGTTTACCATGAACATGACTTGTGGGTTTCCACCCTGCGTGCCGAAGTCGGTGGAGCTGGAGAAGTTGAGCTTGCTTTGGGCGCCGAAGCCGTCTTCGACCTTGGTCCAGTCTACATCGACGTAGATGCGGATGTCTTCGTCATTGGGCTGCATGGTTCCTTTGGCTTCGGAGAGCGTGACGAAGGGATCGGCGCTGATGTTCCAGTTGAAGGCTCCGGTGCCGCGATGAGAGATTTCGATCCAGCGCTTGGGAGTGAAGGGTGTCATGGCCGGCAGGGTGAGCGAACCACCGCCGTTGCTGTGCCACATGTCATCACCGGGAATGGTGGCGTTCGAGCCTTCAACGGAGATGCCCATGTCGCCGGCTAGGGATCGTTCTTGAGTCTGTACCCAGCGGAGATCGGGGGTGGACTGGCGCATAGGTTGTTGCCTGTGATTGGGTTAGCATCATAAGTTCCATCGCTAGATCATTTAGAACTTACCAGTATCCTTGGTAACCAAGATGGGTCTGGTCCATCATGTGATCCCACTTGCCGTTGAGTTGAGTGTGGTAGAGGCGGGTGAGGTTGTGGTCCTTGTTCATGCCATCAATCACACGCTGCATCCACCTGTTGGCGCTGTTGCGGCCCATCTGCGCGTAGATGATGTTCCTGGCGCCCGAAACCTGTACATCGACGTGGTTTCCTCCAGCGAGGACACGGTGCAGGATGATCTCGTAGAATGCGGGCTGTTGCTCCGGAGAAAGCGCAGCATTGACCTTGTTGGCGCGTTCGGCGAGTGACTCCCAGTGAGCGAGAATGCGGTCAGCCTCCTCGTAGTTGAGAACGCTGAAGGAAGAGGGCTCGACCCATTCAAACTTGCGCATGTTGGCGAGGAAACCATACTCGTCCATGATCTCGGCGATCTCCTCAGCATGCTCTTCACCGAAGTTACGGGCGGCAAATCCAGCGAGCCACTCGGGCACTGAGTCGTGGTTGTAAGAGTCCATGTCGTAGGCAATGTCGAACCAATGGCTGATGGCAATCTCGGCGGGCTTGATGTCACCGACGTTGACGATCCAGATACGGTCAGCCTCACGGTCCTTGGCCAGCTTCATCTGCTCGTAGGTCTTCTGGAGCTGGATAGTATCCTGCCACTTGTAGTTGCGGGAGTCACCAACGTAGTCGAAGTGGTAGTAGACACCAGCACCACCGGATCGGTTCTTCTCGTCGCCAACTGGAAGACGGCGGATGTTTTGCCAGTTGTCTTCAGTCCAGAGGAGAGTGACCCAGTCGGGAACTTTCATGCCAGCCTCAAAGTAGTCCTGGACTTCCTTGTACAAGCACCACATCTGAGGAACCTCTGATGCGTCGCCGTGAACCTTGGTGAGAATGTCTTGCTGAGCGTCGACCACAGCCTCAAGGACCGAGGTTTGGACATCAGACGACATAGCAGTGTCGTGGTATCCGCGCATACCAACAGTGACGACGTTCTCATACGGAGCGGCGCGCACGGCACCCTCCATGAAGTAGTCGTAGAGAGTGGCGTTGTTGGTCGCCCAAGACCAGCCAGACTCAGCACCCTTGGCGACCTTGCTCCATTCCTGGGTGGCACGAACCATGGGCTCAGTGTGAGAAGTTCCCATCACGATGCCGTACTCGTCAGCAAGAGGTTGATTGCGAGCGTCGTCGACGTTGAACATGCCGTTCCACATAGCCGGCCAGAGGTAGTTGGCCTTGGAGCGGAGCAGCAGTTCGAAGACCTTGGAGTAGAACTGAGCTCCGAAAGGTGCGCCATACGGAGACTGAGGGTAGCGGTCGTTGGCCCAGCCGGTAAGAGCAGGGGCCTCGTCGTTGATGAAGAAACCTCGGTACTTGACAGATGGAGTCTTCTGGACCTTGATGGTTTGGAGCATGTAGATGGAGTCGTGTTTCTTCGCAGGTACGTCGGCGAACCAGTGCCATGGCGAGACACCGATTTGCTCGGAGATATCGTAGATTCCGTAGATGGCACCACGGCGATCGCTGCCTATAAAGAGTTAGCGTCGAGCTTCAAGACCAATCTCGGGATACATACCAGCAATGACAAGTGCGTCGCCAGTCATGTTTCCAGCCTGCTTCACCACAGCACTGACGTAGGACTCCCATTGACCCTCAACCTCGCTGACGTCGAGCTGTCCGCTGGCGATCATGTCGTCGATCAGGCTTGAATTGCCAATGGTTCCCACGATGATGGTGCCAGCTGATGAGTTGGATGCAGCACTGCCACTAACGCTCCAGTCTTCACTGATCCCAGTGACATTGAAGATCATGGAAGCGTTAGCCGTCGGTGTTCCAGAAGTCATCAGAGTACCATTGGTACCCGTAACGCGTCCGAAGTCGATAGCAAGGTCGTGAGCAGCGCGCAGAACACCGGGCCAATCCGCAGCATCAGCGTGGATACTAACAGGAGAGCCACGCGCGGCAAGAAGAGACGAGCCATCACCTTCTGTAGAAGAAACAGTAGGCTTGCGGAAGGCCTCGAGAGCAGAAGCCGAGCCAGCAAAGGCGACGGAAAGCGACAGGGCGCTGACCACGGTGCGAGAGAAGAGCTCCATGATGCCTGGTCAGTAGTCGAGCAACGTCCTGAACAGCGAACGAAAACGCGGAGAATCCCCAGCTTTTGAATGGCTTCCCCAGAACATACGCCGCGGTGATAGCCACGACGGTAACCCCATAGTCACCAAGAGATCCGCACCGCCCTAGCCGTTTAGTCGACTAGTCATCGTGCATGTTCGTACATCGAATGACCACCTTCCCATGAAATGTCTAGCAGCGACTGCATATCCAGGAACAGCATGCAGTTGCTGGCCAACGGCCCGATATTGAGGGACCCTAGTCGCTTCACCCCAGCCGGGACCGGTTGTTCTATGGCTAAATTGACGTGACGTACATGAGCCAGTCGCCTTGTCGCTGCAAGACTTCTAGAAGGGCAAGCAAGCAGTCTTGGCGGTAGGTCGGAGGACACGTGCAGCATGCAAATATCCGGATCCATGCACTGCACATGGAAAGTCGGTAGCAATGGTACTGTGCGATTGATTGGTACCAACTCGGCGTCCAGATAATCGGATACCATCTCTGGGATGCTGAGACGACGCAGAAATTGTTCCGTGCCAGTTCGCCAGGCTTTCCCTCGACGACAAACAGGTGGCCGCCTGGTCCCCCTCTTTGCACACGGAGATTTCCAAAAGAAACGCAGGGTGCGCAGCGCGAAGGGGCTTGGAAAACGGGTCTACGGGCTCATGGAGCGGCACTCCCCACGGTGGGTGAAAAGGCTAAATGCAGTCCCCCGCAAACTGCTCAAACCGCTCTGGGCCTAGTGCGGCGGTGAGGCGCCAAGCATCGCGAAAAATGTTGGAAGCGCGAATTATCCAAAGAAACATACAGCCGTCTTACCCCCAATAGCGTCACACCAACGTCCGACTCGATTAGTGGAGATTTGCATACTATCGTGTGATTAGTCGTGTTCGGACATCAATCACCCGACCAAGCCCTCGTTCACCGTTCCGGAAGAGAGTCCAAGACGCTCCGACTTTTGTCAAACCTCCGCATACTCGAACCCACGTACGCGTCTACTGCCGACCGTCGCAATGGCCCAAGGCGCAATCAAGAAGACCAAGGCCGCTCCTCCGAAGAAGTGCGTTCTATCTCCGCGCTCAACACTCCACCAGGCGCAAACTATTCTCCCAACACGCATACTAACATCTGAACTCTAGGTCCTCGGTTGCGCGCAAACAAACCGGCGCCCGCGTCATCAAGCCCAAGAAAGCGTCCATCATCACACAGAACAAGATCAAGCACAAGAGCAGCTCTGGGCTCGTAGGCAATACAGAGAAGATGCTTGCGCAGAAGGCGGGGCATCTGGAGATACTCAAGGGAGGAAAGAGGGACAAGAGAGAGCCCGGTGACAAGAAGAAGAGTGGTTGAAATGCGGACTTCGTGGAATAGATATCTGGCAAGGCGCATGGGGTGATGACCTGGACTGCTGAGGTTTGGCATGAAGTAATGCGCCACGACGCGAGAGGGGCGTCATAAACGACGAGAATAGTGTTCAGCATGAGGAACGATGAGCCTTGTGCGATCAGTATCATGCGATAGAAGCCAGGCCACTAGGGATTACCTGAAGGAATCAACGGCAGAAGGCATATTTGAAGGACATGGGATGGAAGCCGAAGATATCGTAATTCGAACAACAGTGTCCATTCGCGGGGCAAATGCCGAACTCATTCAGTGAGTACTCAGGTGCATATCCCAGCGCCTTGCCGCGACCAGAGAAGATAAAATAAATGATCAAGTCCATGCCACGTCCTCAAATGATGCCCGCTCGTGCAGCCTCACCACCCCCAGCATCCACCACAGCTTCTCTCGCCTTTCCTCTGCCCAGTCCACCCTCTCCGACTCCCATCCTCCTTGCTACATAGCGCTGTGCAACAATACCCACACTCAAGTTTATCGTCTCCTCCATCCACTCACTAACCCACTCCCGCGGGTCAACACCACCACTCTCAATAATCTCGTAGATCTCCTGTGGTAGTTGTTGCTCCTCGCCCTCAGCCTCGGTATTGGCCGGCGCATCTAGCCAGTCGACCCATTTCGACGGGAAAGACTGGCTGATGGACTTGAAGGAGATACCGTGGATAGGGTCGTGCAGGTAGATAGCGAAAGCCACCTCCTCCCCGTCCTCCTTTTGTTCTTCCACATCCGACTTTTCTTCCGAGGAGGATGTAGCAAAGAGTTCGTCTTGTACGGGATAGCTGATAGCTTGGATCGCAATAAAGATGTCGCTGCTCCTGACGGGGTTCGTCTCGCTCAGGACCTCTGTCGCTTGCTTGGCTGCTTCTTCAACGCCTCCTCTTGCACCGAAGAACTCGTTCGCGTACGATTCTGCGCTGACGCGTGCGAGCTTTGTGCCTTCAACAAGCCCCTTGACCACGGAGAGGTCGCGCTTGTCAGTGTGTCGCCACCATGGCCCGTCGTTCCAGCCCCCGCCGCCGCCCCGGTAGCCGTCTAGCGATCCGCGCTGTGTTGACTCTGAGCCGCGTTGGATGACCATAAGGTCTCCGCCTTCGACTTGTGCCATGACTCCGGCGAAGGTCTGGTAGATGAGGGGGTCGAGCGAGGGGTACCCGATGAGGTCGTGTGTGATGTGGATCTGGAGGCGTTCATGCTGGGAGATGGGTGGTGCGAGGGTGTTTAGGATGTTGGTAAAGGTAGGTACGGCACGCTTGCCGAGCTCACCTCCTGTAGCTTGTTAGATTGAGACGGCATGGGTCGAAAGACGAATCGTACCAATGCCGCGAAGAGCGCCAACGTTCCCCCGTACTTGCTCTGCCCATCGTTGGGCTTCTTGGTTCTTCTGAATCTCCTGGTAGGCGGCTTCGGCTTGCTTCCTCGCCGTCTCTGCTGCAGCAGTGGCTGTTGACACCAGTCCTCCCCATCCACCTCCCCACCATGATCCACCGGACTGCTTCTCCTCCTGGGGCTCAGGTGCTTGTTGTTTGGCGGGCTCCTCTTGGGTTGGCGCGAAGCTCTGGTGGTACGAACGGGTACTCTCCCCTGATTTCCTCGGCACTGAAGGTCGGTTGTCTTCGCTTGTACGTGCTGATCCAGTGGAAGAGGGAGTAGCTACGCCTGGTGCGCGGCGGCTGCTCGATGTAGTCGACGACGAGGCTACTTTGGGGGTGTTTGGACGACTGATCTGGCGGGGAGCTGCTGGTTGAGCCTTGCCCAATTGCTCCAGCTCGTCCAGATCCTTCAGAGCATCTTCATCCTCCTGGCGCTGGATCTTCTGGCGTGGTGCGCGGGACCCTTTGGCATGCTTCGGCGGGGGCGCGGGAGTCTCACCAGCCAGAGCTTCCAGTTCCGCGAGCTCCTCGTCAGCTGTCTTGGGTGGCATGATGGATGGAAGATAAGGAGTCTAGTTCAAGGTGATGGTGCCCACAGTCACGAGTCACTGAGAGAGCGGAGGCGTATATAGTCGGCGGATATCACTGCAAACATCAAGTCATGGCCGTCTTGTTTGGACCATCTGACAGCTAGATGCCAGTCAGTTTAGCGTGTTGATGTCATTGGCTGCCTGCGCATGCGCCAAGCGCGATCATGGTTCGGCTCGCTTTTGCTGAAGCAGCCACGCCCCGTAACAAAGATCATCACACTCGATTCACTGACTATTCCATTTCCCATTTCCTTTTCAAGATACCCTCTATCACCTGCTAGCTTTTATTTGCGCGCGCTCTTTGCGGAAGCGCAAGGTTCTGTTCATCTTCTTCGCTCACAGCTTTTGTCACCCTGAAGGCTTGCGATTCGCGCTACGCCCCTTCGGCCCCTACATGGAGACATTGTCCCGACAGGTACACCCACATCAAACTCAACACAACATTCACTACTTGCATTGGCCCCGCGTATCTTCCTGATGCCACGTCCACGGGGTGCGGCTACGCGCGGTGCCACACGTCGCAATTCGCAGCAAGATGACACGCCTTCCCGGACCCGTGGTCAAGCAGCAAAACAAGCCCCGTCAGAACCAGATGCGCCAGACACGGTTGCACCAGCATTCAGTCCCACCAAACTGAGTCCTACCATCACTAGAAAGACTACTCGCTCAGCTTCCAACATTTCTGGTAATTCATTCGAGGCGCCGTCCGCGTCCGAAATTTACGCATCTTACGAGCACCCGTTGTTCATGGTCTTTGGCCTGTCACCCGAGTTCTTTGACGGTCTGAAGAAGCACCATGGAAAACTTCCCAAAGAACGCAAGTCAATAGTTGGCGCACTTCCAGAGCGCTCACCTACCCCGGAAGACGCCTCTGAGTCTGAAGATGAGAGTGCCGAAGAGAGTGAAGTTGAAGTGCCTGTTGCGCCTCCGCCAGCGCCAAGAGGTCGTGGACGCGGTGGTCGAGGCTCACGTGGCGGACGCGGACGAGGCGGTCGCGGCAGAGGCAGTCGAGGAGGACGCGGTCGTGGCGGTACTTCAAGAGGGACTTCATCAGCGCCATCAAAAGCTTCTCGCAATGCTGCCGCCATGTTTCCACTTACAGAAGATGATGATGATCAGCCATCCAATCAGAGCACACCCAACGGCAACGCCAAGCCATCCATGCGACTTCTCAACAACAACCGTCTGCATAGTTCTGATGATGAGAACGAAGAAGCGATTGAGGATGACGAGAGCGAGGCCGAGTACGATCGCATAGACGTTGTACAGAAACCATCCAGGACACCCCAAGGTTCTGCGCCACCCGGTCAAGACTCACTCGAAGGCGGTTCACATACATCAGCACCGACACGCGAGTCAAGGCCAGAGCCTACGTCTAGGAGGTCCACCAAGCTTGCGGTGCCCAAGATCGCGCTGCCAGAGTCAGCCTCACAGACACCGCGCGATTCTGCATCAACGCCGGCTGAGTCTGCAGTTCCAAGACTGCTAGAGCCTGAAGAGGATATGCTCTCCGAGTCAGATCTTCCCGACCCCTTCATCGAAGACGCGCCTTCTCCGATCGAAGCCGAGTGCGAAGATAGAGCAGACTACCTCTTGCAGAAGCGCTTTAAGCCGATGACTGAC